TTAGATACTTGTTAGCATTTGTTATTTACAACATATGGGACCACTATATTTATGTTTATTGAGGTGGATATTTTATTTAATCAGATTAAATTATTTGAATGTATTAATCCTTTAAAAATTAGAGATGTCATTGTCGCAGAAAGACTAAGCAACCCCTATAAACTTAATTTGCATTTAAAGAGTGGTTGGTTTTGGAATTGGTCAAAATCTACATAATTGATAACACATTCACATTCCCTGTCTGCTAGTGCTAGGTGAATGTTTTAATAATGCATCCATGATCCATCTACCAAAACACCACTACATTTATCCCTCTGTATGATTTTTTTTTGGCTTTGTGAAGGGCATCCTTTTTTAGTGTTCTCATGTCTTTATAATTTAAATTTTATATAAAATATATATTTTTAATAATTAAGAATTTTTGAAAATTTATTTTGAATTTAAATTTTAAAGATTTGATAATGTTAAAAAAGTGAGACAAAAGTTAAGTCGGAAAATTTTAAAAGTTGCATTAATAAAATATAAGACGAATTATACTAACAGTCTTTATAATTTAGAACTCGTGTCATTTTAGTTTTTGATTTTTCAATTGTGACACATTTGATTCTGAATCTTGAATCTTATTCCAAATAAGGACAATTGAAAATACCATGCTCAATTTCAAGGGTAAAGTAGTCAATTTGATAAAATATAAACTAATTTGACAAAAATAAATGTCAAAAAAATATTTTTAAATTTTTAAAAATTATTTCTACCCACAAAAAATAAAATTATGCAAAATTGATAATTTTTTAACTCATTTATTTATTTACCAAATCAATTTTTGTTATGTGTTTGGATAATGATCATATAATGAGTGGTTGTTTTTATTTTCATTAAATTAGTTTCTATTTTTCAAAAGTCAAATATAGCGACAACTTTAATATCATTATTTAACCAATCCATTAAATTAAAAAATTCAAAACCAAAAAATATTTCATATATTAAATATATTGATTACACATTAAAAACTTAACAACCACCCATTATATGATCATTATCCAAACACATAATAAAAATTAATTCGGCAAAATAAATAAATAAATAAATTTGTAAAAGATTTATTAATTTTATATTATTTTATCTTTGATAGGTAGAAATAATTTTAAAAAATTCAAAAATATTTTTTTGACATTTATTTTTGTCAAATTAGTTTATATTTTATCAAATTGACGACTTTGCCTTTAAAATTAAATAATGGTATATTCAATTATCTTTATTTAAAACAAGATTTAAAATTTAAGATTAAAATATACCATAAATAAAAAGTTAGAAATTAAAATGACTGTTAATTTAATTTGTCCTAAAATATTTTTTTTTGTATAAGAGGTATATTAACGGTGGTAAACCACTGACTAGTCTCATTACAAAATGTGGTCCCTTTGCGTACCTTCTCTTAATACGTTTTTTCTTCATTGCAGGGGGGGTCCTTAGCCTTTAGGTGATTGACTGTGATCAGGTGAGCCTGCGAAAGTTGTGCTTTGAGTGTGTGTATGTATATGGTCTTCCATGACGGCTCTCCCAGCCCACGTGATTGACAAAAATAAGGGAAACAACATTCAGTCGGACAACTCTAAAATGGATTGTTTGAATTTAAATTATTTTAATTTTAAAATTTAAAACAAATTTTATTTTGATTTTAATGATATAAATTATTTATTTTATAAGACTGTTATTATATATCATTCATAAAAACAAATATAATGAAATCATATATTTATAAATATCTAAATAATTTAATTTTTTCATAAATAACTTATATATAACATTTTGAAAAATAATTATTTAAAATATTAACTCATAATAAATTTCACGGATGCCAACAACGACTTGGCTAAAACCCCCTACAACCCAATGGCCTATTGTGAGGAAAACGAAATATACATCGAGAAAGAGTGACGTGAAGAACTCCAAGAGCCTCAGATAATTATAAATCACTCTCACAAGAAACCATGGTCGGCAATTCTTTACAAGTATTTTTTAAATTTCCATTCTTCATTTATTTTTTTAAATATAATTTGCTGTTCCCACGCTGTTATAGCATTGCCAATAACTTAATTAATTATAAACAATAAAACACCTAATTAATTAAGCTTTTATTATATGCCCTCCTCAGTCTTTCCCGCATCCACTTGTCACTCGGGTAGAGGGTGTGCGGCTTACCTTCCAATCAAGTCTCCGACACATGAGATCATCAACATTAATGGTATCAATTCTGAATAGAGTTATAAAACAAATCAATTTATCAAATTTTAAAATTTATTTAATTTTAAAATTAAGTTTGAATAACTTGATAATTAATTTCATAAGTTTTATACATTATAAAAATAAATTTATTCTAACTTGGTAAGATCAAAGTTCATTTAAGATTGTTTTGAAAAGTACATAGACTAAATTTTAACATATTTTAAAATTTATTAAATATTCAAGTCAAGGTTGAACGACTTTAACACGTTTGAGAGCTCCAATTTTAAAAAAATCAATAAAAAGTATTAAATAATTATGATCTTGTGCTTTTCGCTAGTTACATATACAATAATATATTATTTATAATTATAATGGTTGAGTCAACTAAAAGCCGGGTCGTAACATTTTTCCATGATGGACGCGGCTATGAACTTGCAAATTAATTTAATTAAGAACTAAGCGGTAGATTAATATATCATTTACTTAATTTAGGTCAAAGTTACAGAATAATAAGAAATTTTAGTAAGCAAATATCACTCTGTTTAGTCTATTCAAAATGTATCGTCTAAGAAATATGTTTAAGTAATATATAACAATTCTCATATACATGCATTAAAAAGTCATAATACAGTAGGAGGAATCTACAACCATGTTTTTTTTTCTCTCCTTATTCCCCTACCCATGAAAAGTGTGAGGAATCTACATGTTGGAGTTTTTTCTTCTTCGTTTTCCTTTTTTCTTTCTTTCTTATTCTATTACCCAATAAAATTATAAAAGTAATAGACAACTAAGCAAACTTGCAAGAAAATGCAAGAAATTTAATGTCAAGAATTTGGGACATGGCTTGTTTTTAAATCAAATGGTGTCATCCTCGCACAAGAAACCCATGTATTTTCAAGTCTCTCTCTACTTTCACCAACTAGTCTTTTTAAATTCAAACTTTAGTTAACCTTGTTCCCTTGTGAAAATCTATATACCTAATTTTCCAGCTTGTGTTGTTATTATTCTTATGAGAATGACTATTGATTGTAAGAAATGTTGTCGAAAATATGTTCACAATGTCTGTACGGGCATTGTCCATTTATTTCAAGAGTAATTTATAAATATGGTCCTTATAGTATAGTACTTATTTCATTTTGGTCCTTAATCTTTAATTTATTTCAATTGCATCCCTAAATTTCACATATTAATTCAATGGAGTCCCTAGTTTTTAGACCATTTAAAGAACATATGAAAAGTACTTATGTGAACCTCACAGTAGGGATTTGAAGAACGTTAACGCTGTGTTTAGTTGGGGGACTGGAGGAGGGATTTGGAAAAGGAAAGGAAAAAAATAGGTGAAATGTGAGTAAAATATACCTACATTTCACTTAGTTTCACACACATTTTCCCTTTCCCTTTTCCTTTTCAAATCTCTCCCCAAATCCCTCAACCAAACACAGTATAAAAGAAATTTATCTCATTTTTTATCAAAATGAACCGCAAGATAAGTAAAATACAAGTTTGTCACTCCATTACCAAAACTCAAATCATAGTGCCTTTGATTCTTTAATTAATAGTATTTCGCATAGATGTGTTAAAATGTACTTAATGCCTGGAAAGTGAGATTGATGTAATAATTTTTGTATGTTTTTAGACAACAACTAAGGGGAAGAACACTATTAAATTAATGTTTGCCGGTGGTGGCTTTGGGGTCTTCTCGGCCGGTGTGGGTAGTGGGAGTTGGGAGTTGCAGCAGCTTAGGGGTGGCGTGTTGATGCAGCAGAGGCGTAGGGTGTTGATGCAGCAAAGGCGTGAGGGCTTTTCTTTGGGAGGTGTAGCAGTAGAGGCGTGGGCAGAGGAGTGGGTTGTTGATTAAATGGGTTTTTAGTTCGGGCTGCTTTGGGAGTTGGTTTAGTTAATATAATTTGGTTTGGGTGTTTTGGTGGGTTGATTATGTGGAGATTCATGTATTTTAATTTTCTAATTAAGTTCTTCTTAACTTTTTTTAAAAAAAATCGAGAAGCTTAGGGGTTAGTTGTATGGATGCAAGTAGCAGTAGTAGGGGTATTTTTATACTTCCGAATCTCTCTCGATGCATGTCATTTTCCTATACCTTTAATTTCATATTGTTAAATGAAATTTTTCTTTGCTGATCAAAAAAAATTAATGTTTAAAGTTTAAGAATGCAATTAATGAAAGATTTGGGACAAAAATAAAGTCAGTATTTTACTTTAATGTGTAAATTTACTCTTTTTTCTTTGAATGACATAGTTTTAAGTCTATGATTTGAGTTCTTGAACTGAAACAAGCTCAGAATTTGGAATCCCATATTAAGGAATTGGGTTCTCTTTAGATAAAATTCGTCGTCTCCCCATTTCTATTATTCAGGATCTCTCTGCCATACGATGAGACTCTTTGACTTGATTGTGTGGTGGAGAAGAGATTTAAAACAGGAGAGATTCACACAGAAGATCCCCTGGTTGCCAAGATACCTCATGCCAGATATGATCTTGTGAAGATCATATTCTTATTCCCATGCTTCTCTAAAATGATACCCTTTTGACAAAGTTCACATTAGCGATATTCTTATTCCAATGCACACATGCCTTCTCTTTCCTTCCTCTTTCAATCTTTCCAAAATCTATTCCCTCCAAAATCTACTACCTTTTAATCAAGTCAAAGCATTGCATTTTCTTGGTGAGCAAACAATATGTGATCCATACCCCTTTTTTTTTTTTTTTTTTGTTAAAAAAAAAATACTAGTTTAAATGCATTAAAGAGAAGATTACCACTAATTTAGAACTTTGGAATTGAGAATTGACAATAGTTGATGCCGAAATTTCTTTTCTTCCCATTTTTTCTTGATTTCTTTTCTGAGTAACCAAACATCAGAGATCTCTAAGATGGTTATTCTGATGGGGCAATTTGGAAGCTCAATTACTGATACAGACACTACTGAAAGTATTTTTTGTAGCTAGCTAGCTAAGGTTTTCTTCTACTAAAAGAGGATAAACTATGGCAACTGCTACTTTCTTCGTGATCATCTGATTGATCATCACAACAAACTTCTGTGATCCCACTCGAACCTGAGCAGGACAAAGCAGGGGCAAGATTCAAATCAGTCTTGTCTTTGGCCAAGAAATCATAGAATACAGGCCCAACTGTGTTACAATTGTGAGATTCTCTGATCTCATTGTCATTTTTAGCACTTCTCTTCTTCAAAAATATACGACAAAGTACCCAATTTTCCATAGTGCTCTGCAAGAAATTGAACAACTACCATTAAATTCAAATCACAAACACAAATAAAAACCATATCAATAAATGTTAAGATAGCCGAAAATCTCACCAGAGTTAATTTCTTTTTCTGTGGGGAAGTGGTGGCTGTAGTTTCAGCATCGATGAGGCGGTATTCGTGCATGATCCAATCAGTCCTAGAACCATGTGGAGGCTTTCCTCTATAAAAAACCAGAGTTTTCTTCATCCCCACAACTTGGTTGCTCCTGCAAGATACAATTTGCTTATCTATTCCTGTCGCTTTCCAATACCCAGAACCTGTCGCTCTGTTGGACCGGTTCCCATTTCGATACTTGGCTTCCCTAGTGCTAAAAAAGTATTTTTCTTGCTCCAATTCACCTGAGCACATCAGAACAAGCATTAGTCCCAAATACACACTATGTTCACGGATATATTAGTGTCTCCTATTGGTCGACATATGACTGTTTTGTAAAATCATGATATGGCATTCTAGTGCAGTGACAAATGAGAACCAAGTTCAATATGCTTTTGTGGTAGTTATAATTTTAGAATTTTATAGTGTGGTAACTAACCTGGCAAGTCCCAAGGGTCGGATTTGCAAACATCGAACTCTGGGATAATGGAAGCTGGCAAAGGGCATGAAAATACTTTGCGTTTCAAGTACTGAAGAACGAGCTCTTCGTCAGTGGGATGGAAGCGGAAGCCAGGAGGCAATCTTAGCACACCATTCTTACCAAAGTTGAATTTTTCCATCTCAGAGCACAAAAACAAGGCACTCACAACAAACAAAACTTGATGAGCTTTTAATTCAAAATCAAACCCAATTCAGCTTGAATTTTCTGCAACTTATACACATCTTAAAAACCCATCGAAGTAGAGAATTTATACGTACATATAGATAGATAGATAGATAGATAGACAGACAGACAGACAGATAGATAGCTCACCAAAGTATTCGCCATTGAGGGCAGCATGAAGAAAAGTATCGCCGTTGCTCCCTCTACAGTTGAGAGGGAAAGTGAGGCATCTTTATAGTAAGGGAGGGGGAGTGTTGAGGGAGTTGGCGTAAACTAGACTCAATCTCCTTCTTTCGTTGACGCATTTTAACAAACGTCTCAAGAGGGTATCTATTACTTGTTCCTCTGTGAAGATGTTAAAATTTAAGCTTATTTTAAGAAGCAAGAAAATAAAATTATTTATTAAATTTTTTTTAAAAGAGGTGATCTTTTTCCTAAACTAAGGTCAAGTTTGGCAATCTAAAAATAATTCATCTTTTTATCTTTTTTCATGACATCACATCTCTATTTTTTTGTCCATCTTTTCGTAAAAAGACAAAAAATACACTTATTTAGGTCATCCCAAACAACCCTCAAACTATGCTATGCTATGCTAATGCTTAGTTGTGTTCAATTTCGGACTATGCTATGCTATTAAATTTCAATATCTTGATTCTCTTGACGTCTTTCTTTCTTTCTTTCTTTCTTTCTTTCTTTTTTTTTTTTTTTAATGGGAATTCTATTGACATCTAATTACAGCTTTTTAGCATATTTTTCCAAAAAAAAAAAAAACAAAAACAAACAAACAAACAAACAAAACAAAATCAAACTAATATACTTAACGTTGACTAAAAAAGTTAAAAAGTTAAAAAGTGACTATCTTATTTAAGTCACATCATCTTATTTAAGTTACATCACCTCTCTACCACATCACTTCAAACACAACCAATACCCAACCCATATTTCATAAAAAGTCAAAAAATACACTTATTTAGATCATCCCAAACCACCCCTTAGTGTTCTATTTGTTAATTAAAAATAAACAAATTTTTTTTACAGCTTATAAATATTTAGAACTCTGCTCATGGTTTGATAAATTTATGTACAAAGCAACTCAAACTCGATCTATAATCACCTCAACGAAATCATGTTCATTTTTTTTATTAACACTAAATCAAGTTATTATTAATGTGCGTTTGAATCCCTTCGTATGTTCATTTCATTGACTTAGGGAAGACTTTTGAATCTAGAATTTATTTTTTTGAATGGGTCTAAATGAAAAGTATAATTTCTCTCATAAAATATATAACTTTTGTTATAAAATTATAATTTTTTTTTTCACAAAAAATATAACTTTTTGTTTCTCACAAAATGTATAACTTCCCTCACAAAAAATATAATTTTAATTATACATTACTTTTAGATGCACATCATAATTTCAAAATTTATAAGTTTCATCACAAAAATCATAACTTTCAAATCATATAAATGTATAACTTCTCTCACAAAAAAAGTGTAACATCTCCCAAAATAAAATAAAAAAACAATTAAACCATATCTGAAATTAACTCAAACAATGAAAAAATCAAGACAAATATATATATATATATATATAACTCATTATTTTTTTCAAATCAATATTTAATAACAATTTAGTGAATTAAACTTAGCTTATGTATAATAATATGCATTATTGGATATGAAATTGCTATTTCATTTTCAACTTCATTTTGTTTTTCCTTTCATTAGTTTCTCATTAAAAAACGTGAGAGATTAAAAGTTATTTCATATCAACAAAGACAAAAATTTATATTTAAAATCTATCATTTGACATAAGAATTATTTAATATTATATCTGTTCATAAGTTGATTAATAAGAATATTTATATCATATCTCATAATTAATTATCCAAAAAAATATTTATATCATATCTCATAACTAGTTAGTTGGATGATAAGATTATGAGTTAGTTGGATGATAAGATTATGAAAAATAGTAATTGTTGGACGGTGGTAGGGGTAGATTAGTCTCATCGAGAAAACGTGGGTTTTGTTGACTAGTAGTACGTAAGGAAAGAGCATTTTGGTGTCCTTGTTAAGGGTGAAGTCAGCATAGGTCATGTTTTCACACCTGTAGCTCACCAAAGCATCTGCTTTAATGGGGCAAAACTGAAAGTACACAAGTACCCCCCATCCCATGAATTCTGAAATACAGTTGGAGAGACAGAGAGAAAACAGTAGTTGGGTTTGGGCCTTTGGCCATGTGCCATTTGTTTGTCGTGTTACCGAAAACACATCCCCTTCCAAACACCCCACGAAACTGCCTTTACCAATGGTGGCAAAATCGTGTCAAACTCTTGGGATTAAACTGTTTCCAAAGCTTTCTACTATTTTTCTATAGAGAGAGAGAGAGAGAGAGAGAGAGAGAGTTTGGTCAGGTAATAGGGACACCTCCCTGATGGCCACTTGGGTTGCTAAACATTGTCAATTTTTTTGTTGTCTATTTTGTCAAAAAAAAAAAAAAGAAGCAAGTTTTTTGAAAATAAAAAATCTATATATTATATAAAAAAATTGGAATTTTCAAAAATCTTTATAGGAGTTTTAATATTTCAATCTTAATTTTTTAATTTTTTGATTTAAAGAAAAATCAACATTTATTGATTTTGTGGGGATATATTTTCTGAGTCCCAACACATGGCCGAAGTGTCACCGAAGTACCAGCCGAGGTGCCACGTGTCCTGATCACGACGCCGAGATAATCTCGGCTAGACCGAGGTTATCTGCGAAGATATCGGAATCCGAGATAAGCGGATAAGGCACAAGAGTCCTAAAATGAGGAAGGACTTTAGCATGGATAAGGATAACACTCTTAGGGAGTTTATCTCTATCTCTTGGAGAGTCCAGGATAAACACTGAGCAGAAGTCCATAGAAGCTAGGCTTCTAGGGGAACTAGGATTGAGTTAACTACAAAAGAAAGGCACCCCCGATAGGTCTAAGGTACGTAATTTATATTCTGAACAGTGAGTTTAGCACTATTGATTATCTTTGAGAGATATACTGACTTGATCGTCGAAGTGTCCCCGGGTGGACGAACCACCGCCGGAATCTTCTCTTTCTGTTGCAGGTCAGACAGGTGCCATCTATTCTGCCAGTGCTCTCCAGCTGAATACTGAGTTGGCAGTGTGATCGGAAATTCACTCACACAATTTGGCGCCGTCTGTGGAAAAGAAAGGAGAATAAATGGCTAGCGATGGACAGAAGGATAAGGTTAGGGACGAAATCCCTGCTGGGAGTAGAAAACACGTTGACCCAAACGTGGAAGAAGATGGTCGCAAAGAGGAGACTCGAAACCAGAATCACGGCAAGAAAGACGTCGGCCAGGATGGAGACGTGCCAAAGAAACTAGATCGAAGCAGATACTACAACGAGGACGACCTCCAGGTATGGAAGGATAGATGCCTGCGGAGGGACGAAGAAGTGAAAGAGATGGCAAACAAGTTTGCAGACCTGCAATCGGTCGTCAATTTTATGATGCAAAGTAATGTCATGCAACCACCATACTCGCTGCAAGACACGCCGATTCCAGCGGCCAATGCCTAGAAGGAAGGGTAGAAGCCAATCCCAATAGCCCCTAAGTACACCAGAAGCGAAAAACACTCTCACCAGCCTTCTAGGGAGGTCGGGCGAGGAGAATCGAGGAGAGAAGAGTCACGAAGAACACATCGCACTAAAGAAGCAGACCCAAGAGAACATCGGCACATTCAAAGGCAGGAGCTGTGCTTCGACACAACTCATGGAGAAAGGTCAAAAAGGGCCCACAACGAAGCTGAGAACAGTATGCCAAAAAAATTGAAGTCGGGAGATAGCCGAGCTCCTGGGCGGACAAAGGAGGACTTGAGAGATTACCTCAAGAGGAAGCAACAGAATGCCGATGCCGAGGTAACCTCCCCTGATAAGCCGAGAACACCATTCTCAGTGGAATTGGACAAATTTGAGACGCCGAAGAGATTCAGTATGCCGAGGTTCCAAATATACGATGGTAAGTCAGACCCCAACTTCCACGTTGGATTATACTTGAACTCAATGGCATTGTATAGTGAGAATGAGTCGTTGCTCTGCAAAGTGTTCCCCTCATCGTTCGGGGAGATTGCATCAGATTGGTTTCACAAACTACCGAAGGGAAGCGTGAAGACCTGGGAAGGCCTGGCCGAGATGTTTGTGGCCAGGTTCGTGACAAACAAGCTGCAACCATTGAGGGTGGATGCATTGATGGCTCTAAAGATCAGTAAGGATGAAGGCTTTAGGGCCTATGCAAAAAGGTACTATGAGGTGTTCAACTGAATACAAGAGTGTAATCAAGAGGTGGCGGTTGTATCTTGCAAGAACGATCTAAAAGACGACTGTCCACTACGAAAATCTTTGGCAAAGACATTGCCAAAAAGCATGGAAGAGCTCATGGCTAGAATCGAGACGTATGCCAGGGCTGAGGAAGATACATCGAGGACTAAAGAGGCAAAGCAAGAAAAAGGAAATGGCTCGCCGTAGCGAGGCTGAGGTAACAATGGATCCAGCAAGCAAGAGATAGGACTGGGGGTTACACAGGCAGTTACAACTGTGCTCCGAATCCCGATTCACAAAGTCCTGGATAAAATTCGGAACCAACCATATTTCAGAGCACCAGCAAGGGCACCAGGAGAGTTTATGGAAAGAAACCTTGGTAGACATTGTGCTTACCACAATGAAAATGGGCACATGACTCAGGGTTGTAGAGCCTTGAAAATACACTTAGAAGACCTGGTGAGGCAAGGCCATCTGAGAGACCTTGTTGATGAGGCCAGGACAGGAGAAGAACATGAAAGACTGCCTCAGGCGCTAGCAGCTCCACCTCTCCCAGCACAGCAACCTCAGGTATGAAGACCTCGAGTAATTAATGTAATTCACTCGAAGGTCAACGAAAACGAGATTCGGGGGGAGACCTAGAAGGTAAAACACCTACAGCATGTCTACCAAGTCGGGGAGAAGAGACATCGGGCAGAGGAGTGCCAAGGACCAGTAGTGTCCTTTGCTGAAACCGACCTTGAGATAGTGCAACATCCACATAACGATGCCTTGGTAGGATCCCTCCAGGTTGGGGAATGCAAGTAAAGCGCATCTTAAT